TCTGTAATAAATTTCTGAATACATTTGTGGAGCCTTAAATCAACCGTATAAAGTGTCACCAGGCAACTTTCCCTAGCGAAGTAGGGGGTTGGCAAGGTGTGGCTCTCCATGAATATGGAATAGGCCTCTCATGGGCATTGTCATGAAATAAAAAATGCTGTGCACCATGAAACGTAATTAAAAATTCAATTAAAATCACAGGATGTTGCCACGGTAGCAGTGAATTTTCCACTCCATCATGGATTTTTTTCCTTAAAGTACTACAAAAACTCACTGTTACGGTCTTGAGCAAAAAAAAAAAAAGAGAGAGGTGAGACCACAAAAAGTGACATCTGCTCCCTGGGATGGCATAGCTTTCATGTGGTGATAGTCATCAGCAGACTGCTAATCTGCATCTTTCAGCCAAATAATACTTCTGAAAAGCTTGTGCTGACTTAGGAACTAGCTGATTAAGACTACCTCCAGAATGGGAAGGCTAGATTTGGGTTTCGCAATACCTGAAAGTTTGATTTTGTAGTTATTTATTTTCACTTATTTGAAAGGCAGAGAGAGAGAGAGAGACAATGCCAGAGATCCTCCACCCACTGGCTCATTCCCAGATTCCTGCCACAGCTGGAGAATTCCTGTCCAGCCAGGAGTGAGGAACTCCATCCACGTCTCCAGTGTAGGGAGGTATAGCAGGGACGCACATGCTTCAGACATCTGACGCAGAGCACGCATTCACGCATTTGCACTGACCTGGATGGGAACAGAGTCGCTGTTCTAGCCTCAGCACTCACATGTGGGACATGGACATCCCAAGTGGCAGCTAACTGTGACATCCTGGTGCCGTCCCCGGGTGCTGAAGCTTATTCTTTTTAAAGGCTCTGTTCAGGGCCCGGTGCGATGGCGTAGTGGTTAAGGTCCTCCCCTTGCATGCCCAGGATCCCATATGGGCGCTGGTTCTAATCCCGGCAGCCCAGCTTCCCTTCCAGCTCCCTGCCTGTGGCCCGGGAATGCAGTCGAGGACGGCCCAAAGCTTTGGGACCCTGCTTCCACGTGGGAGACCTGGAAGAGGCTCCTGGCTTCGGATCGGCATAGCATTGGCCGCTACACTCACTTGGGGAGTGAATAATCCGACGAAAGATCTTCCTCTCTGTCTCTCCTCTCTGTATATCTGCCTTTCCAATAAAAATAAAATAAATCTTTAAAGACTCTGTTCAAAAAAGCACAAAACTGCAAGCTAGAGATCTCTCAGGGTCTTTAACGAACCCAGGAAGGTAAGATCCCTGACTTTGCTGAACATTAGAAGTGTTGGAGAGCTTGAAAACTCCTGATGCCCAGTTCTCAGCCCATACCAACAAGATCAGAGCGTCTAGGGGCAAGAGCCAGGCTTGAGGATTCTTAAAGGTCCCTCAGTGACTCCAATGTGCACCGAAGTTTGGGAAAAAACAAAGCTTTAAGCTTTGCCTGTTAGCTTAGAATAGAGGCTCTGTCAGCCTCTACTCCTGTGGTGACTGTCATGTGCCAAGTTGCTAGCACGGTGCCTGACACATGGCTGGCAATCAGCAAAGGCTTGCTGAACGTACAAATGAACCCTCGTTAGGATATCTCTTGTGCTTCACACTGGAGACTTCCTGGAGGCTAGATTTGTGTTCTCCAGCCTGTCCTTTGTTTTAGATATGTCAGCATTTTAAAGCATTTACTCCAACAGGGTTCACTCCATGGATCCACTACACATATGAGGCCATCCCTGTGGATTCCGGGTGTAAAAGTGAGCTGACAAGTCTTCTGGAATGCAGCAAGATCTTTACTAAAATGCTACTGTCAGGGTTGCTGTGGTGGCTCACAGGTTAATCCTCCACCCTGTGGTGCTGCCATCTCATATGGGTGCCTTTTCATGTCCCAACTGCTCCACTTCCAATCTAGCTCTCTGCTTATGGACTGGAAAAGCAGTAGACAGTGAGCCAAGTCCTCGGAACCCTGCACCCAAATGGAGACAGGTGTCATATGGAAAGCCAGCATCACATGGCAAAGGATTACCCTGCTGAGGCATTACACTTGCCCTGATAATTGAGTCTTTAAAGACTATTCAGAAAAATTCTTAATGTGTGCAACAAAGCATAACTTGAAGCAAGAAGTCTCCAAATTTTTTAAATACACAATAGTAAACACTGAGTTTATTTCTAGAAGTAATTTAAGGACAAGTTTTCTGGCTTGTCCAAATCGAAAAAGAAATCAGAGAATTTAACCTAGGGACTTTGTTCAGCATCTGTAACAGCTTTTGTTCTTCTGACAGAATACGAACCTCTGTGATGGGAGAGGAAAAGGACTTGATTTTTCCTTAAGAACTCCTTGCTGAGATTAGCAGCAATTTCAAAACTGGTGACCTATTGAAGCCACTTCAACGAGTATCTCAGAGCATGTCCCACATGCGGGACTTGGGGTGGGTGGGTAACCGGGTGGGGCCTCTCCCTCAATATCCCCCTCTACCTCAGATATATGAAGGAAACAATATGGAAATAATAGTCTTACCCACTTTCCTGTAGCCCTTGACCCTTTTTGCCCAAATTAACTATGTAAAGATTGTCAAAAAAAAAAAAAAAAAGAACTCCTTGCTGAAGGGCCACGTGAATACTTATTTCTAAGTATACATGAAAGAAGACAACCAATAGCATTCTGAAGAAACCACCCATACGAATTTCCAAATGACAGCCACGAGCCTTCTAAAATCAATTTCCAATGGAAAAGTGAATTTCCAGAGATGTCCAATTCTTGAATAGTCTGGGGGGTCAACAGGCAGCACTTACATGGCTGTCCTGCACTGAATGCCTTCATGGAGCTATAGTATTTACATTCACTTGAATTGTGGACCATGAGTATATGCGATCTCACACATGTTCTGTGCTCACAACAGCTACTTTCTGGAAGTAAGCCCTTACCTCAGGAAATGAAACTCCTCTAGAATGCAGACAGCTTCTGTTCTTTTCCCCACTATCCCATCGTTGCATGTGTATCACACCTAAGCAAATGGTAAGGGTCAAAACCCGTAAAAGTCGTTACAAGCAGATCCCATGATGTCAAAGGAAAGCAGCTGGAGTGGGAGTTTAATAAGCAGCCTTCCTTTATTACAACTGGTCTGATGTCATTGATTAGTTATTTCCATCTCTAAAACACAAAGCGAAGTGCTTCTCTGGGGACCAGGATGGAAAGGATACGTGAACTTTCCTGAGTATTTAATATCCTCTTATTGACAGAAGATCTGAATGAGGACTGGGGACAGGAAATGATTTTAGTGATTTCATTATAGTAATTTCCAACAGGGTTATTGGCAGATGGTCTGGTAGGATTTCAACTTCTAAATAGCCTGTAGATCAACATGCCCAGTGTTGATACAAGCTTAGTCCTTAATTAATGAAGTGTCCTAGCAAGCAGAAAAGGTTTTTTTTAGTTTGTTTGTTTGTTTGTCTTAAATATGTACTGTAGCCTTAGCAGTGGAAAACAGCTGGTATTTAAGTTATTCAAAATCATTAATCATTAAGGTATTTGGAGGCAGCAAGCGCTATATATGTATATCTCAGCCCAAAGAGCTCTTGACATTCTACAAATCAGGTATGCAATGAACTATTGAGTAAATGCTGTAGAACGTCCCGATTTTTTAGTCCTATCCATCTTGTTCTAGAAAATCTAAAATTATCAGTCAACCCATGTTAATGTCTTGATGAAGTTTCTTCAGAAACTGATTCCCAAGGAACAAAAACAGTAGTGTTTGGAGGCTCCTTCAGATTTGTATGGTGCTTTACAATTCCTGAAATGACTTTATATGAATACAGTAATCCTGTGAGGGAGGCAGCATTTACTTCCATTTAACCATGAGGATGATCAGAAAACTATCTGTCAGGTCCACATGCCTTTCTTGATGCATGCCTTTCTCCTTTTTTCCATTTATATCTGCCTGTACTCTATGCATGGTAACAGTTGAAATTATGCTTCATATACAATGTGTTAGGTTTCTCCTCCTTTTATTCAGGTGTGCTTTCTACTATGCCCCACCTGCTCAATCATGAGTTTGAAAAGTTAAGGACCTTCTAAGAAAACCTTTTATAGAAGGTTGGTGATTGTGAGTGTTCAAAAGTCAATAAGTCACCAAGTGTTGTTACTGAGCCCTAGGTGGAAGAACAGCTTCTAGAGAATGCTGGATTTGGAGTAGAACACCAGTCATTTACAGGAAGCAAGCCCCTCCCAATGTAGTCTACAGTCTTCCTTCTTGACACTGTTAAGTTTTTCAAATGTTCATGCTTCTTGGTGCTTTTTCTGCTTTTAAAGATTTATTTATTTTTATTAGAAAGGCAGATTTACAGAGAGGAGAGACAAAGATCCCCATCCACTTGTGGGTTTGGCCTAAACCAGCTCCAATGAGTGTAGCCATCTAGGAAGGGAACCAGAGAAAGGAAGATCTCTTTCTGTCTCTCCTTTCTCTGTGTTGTAAGTCTCCCTTTCAAATAAATTAATAAATCTTCAAAATAAGATAAAAAGTTAAAGAACTGTGAGAAGCCCCCTCTGCTTCTTTACCTTTCCCAAATGTGGAGCGTTAGGTTTAGAGAGCCTCTTCAACCATGAAACAAAGGACTGCGTGGCAGACCATGTGGAAAAGTCACAGCGGCCAGGGTTCCAGAGGCACTTCTTGGGTCTGGACTTCTATACTCCTTACTATCAAAAGATACCCAATCACAATATGAAAGCAGGACTTTCTGTTGCTGCAGCTGAATTCATTTGCAGACACAAATACAAAATTCTCATATAAAAACCAAATGAATAGTTATGAAGAAAATCCTCACCTCAAATATTCTAAAAGCAACCTAAATAATCAGTTTGCAGTTTTGTTTTCTTTGACCTAAACGGATAAATAACACACAATTAATATAAAAAGGGAAGGCGCGTCACAGTGGTAAAACTCCCAACATCAAAAGAAGTGAGATGAGGCTGGAGGAAGAAGGGACCAAGTGTAATATCAAGAAATTATGTTCTAACATAGGTTTTATTTAATAGTTTCTATATGTCAATATCCTCTGTGAAGAAAATAAAGTCTGTTTCTTGGACAGAAGAAATTCAATTGGTTTTTAAGTCTGCACCTTCAAACTCGGGAAATGTTCCTCCAAGTAATCAGCAAGGGCCTTATCAACTTCATGAAGTATTTTGATAAAGTCTTCCACCTAGGAGTCAAATGAGAGAGTCGAATTAACATGGTAGAAAAAAATGCTGCTTAAGTAATGGCTGTTGACTATAAAAAAATGCTTTTCCTAAATATTCCAATGGAAAACAAATACTAACATATCATCTAAGGACAGTAGTGGAATTTCTTGAACAGTCCCCAGAACAAGTATCAAAGGCATGTCTCTCCTGTACTGTCTGTCCCTCTGAAACAGTTTCTCTCACTGCTTCCACCTCACAGGCCATCCTTGGAGTTCTACTACCAACTTCTTTGCTGGCAATGTTCCCTCATACCTTCCCTTCCATATTGCAATTTCCTAAAAAGTTCCTATTTTGAAGTGACCTCCAACATTAGCATATGAGAGAAACCATAAATCCTGCCGGGAAGCTTATTTTTGTTTACTACATGATACTTCAAAAAGTTTATGGAAGATGGAACTAAAACATGAATAGACTTCATCACACACACACAAAATCCATGCATACAAGGGATTATCTAAAAAATTCATGGAAGATGAGTAAATACTATGAAAACCATGCACATATCTAAAAATGTTTAACTCCATTTCTATGCACTTTTTAAAGTACTTTTGTGTACATTATCTACACCATAATACAATGGAATACAATATACAATGCACTGATTCTTCCTCTTAAAATTAGAACTGCTACTTAGGCCAGTACTGTGATATCCAGTGGTTATCTTTCATACAAACACAATAAGCAACAACAATTGTCTATACTATCCTACTTTTTGGACGATGGTTGCAGAAGGAGGAAGCACTTGCTTGAAGACATTTTTAACTACCCTGTATGATTCAGCCACCTGCTTCTTCACCCATACTCACCACAGAGCTGTACAGAGGAAGGAGGTATTGAAAGGCACAGGAACACTTCTGCTGGCTTAACTGACCCTCCTTTATGCCCTGAGCCACAGTCTCCTAAAACAAAGATTTTAAATAACACAGATTACTGTATAATTTTTTACAAATCCAATAGACATTTCAAAAGTCCCATCATCAAAGGAGGCTTGCATAACTCAAACTAGCTCCACTGTAGTCTTCGTTTTAGTGATGGACAGTATCCCCACCTACCTGCTGTACCAATGAAATCCCTGGAGCACAGCTAAGGCTTTGCTTCCCTCCAGCTCCTGACTACCCCCACTCAAGTGGTCAACTAATATTTCACCAAATCTCTATCCTACCCCTCTTCTCCATTCACACTTCCATTGCCTGGGCTCCCATCATTTTTCAGATTATTCTTGATTATCAGATGTAAAAGTCAATCAGTTGGCCATTTTGCCTCCAACCTCCACTCTCTCTAATCCTTCTCTATTGCTTTTGGTGCAATCTTTCTAAACAGATCATCTTACTTGGTGCTTAAAAATGTTTTCTGCATCTCCTCAGTTTCCTCTAGAATACATCCAAATCCTCTAAATATAGCATAGTAGAATTTTCATGAGCTTTCTGGTGTGTTCTCAACTCGTCTGCCCTCTATAATCCTGCCACTTAAAAACTAAGGAACTCTGGGCCCGGTGTGGTGGCCAAGCGGCTAAAGTCTTCGGCTTGAATGCACCGGAATCCTATACGGGTGCCAGTTTTAATCCCAACTGCTCCACTTCCCATCCAACTCCCTGCTTGTGGCCTGGGAAAGCAGTCAAGGACACTACAAAACCTTGGGATCCTGCACCCACGTGGCAGACCCAGAAAGAAGTTCCTGGCTCCTGGCTTCAGATCAACACAGCACCAGCCGTTGCAGTCAACTGGGGAGTGAATCATTGGTTGGAAGATCTTCCTCTCTATCTCTCTTCCTTTCTGTATATCTGACTTTGCAATAAAAATAAATAAATCTTTAAAAAAAAAACCAATGAAACAAAAAACTAAGGAACTCCTCTGTTCTTTCCTCTGAAAAACAAGTTTCAGTAAACAAGGGAAAATACGTGAAATGAATATGAAAAAAAAAATTATCCAAGAAGTTCAAATAATCAAAATGGATTTATAAAACAGGAAATGTAAAAAATACAGAAATATGCCCATCTCACTAACAATAAAACTACAAATAAAAATAAGGCACAATTTATCATCTGTTGAATTTTACATGATATAAAAATTATAGTACCCAATAATACAGGTCAAGGGAACTAACATGTCACTAGCAATTTGGCACCATGCCTCAGTTATCTTCACACTCACTAATGAAAAAATCAGACCCAATTATCTAATTTTTCAAAATTAATTTATTTGAAAGCTAAGGTGACAGGAAGAAAGAAAAATAGCAAGAGAGATCATCTTCCATATGCTGGTTCACTACCCAACTGCCCACAATAGCCAAGATTGGACCAGGCAAAAGCCAGGAGTCGGGGAACTCCATTTGGTGGCAGGCATCAAAGCACCTGTGCCTTCATCTACTGACTTTCCAGGCACTTTAGCAGAAAGCTGGATCAAGGCCAAGCAGCTGGAATTGGAACCAGGACTCCCTATGGGAGTTGGGCATCCCAGGCAGCCACCCAATCCACTGTGTCATCATGCCTGCTCCTCCGCCATTCACTTTCTAAAACCCTTTCTAAGGTAACCAACTTAAATTGGAAACATACAACTACAGAAAAGAAAATTGGGATCATTCACTCAAAACAAAACAAAATAAAAAAAACAATTGACCAGAATAACAGAAGCTTTTGCAAATGTTCTTGAGGCAGGCCTTTGGCACTCACATGCCCGTTTAGAGCACTGCATTCTAGCTCCTCTTCCTTTTCCGGTGCCCAGCCCCCGGCTCATGCACACTCTGGGAGGCGGCAGACGGCGGTACACGTACTTGGGTTCCTGCCCCTCCTTGGGAGACCATGCTGAGCTTATGGCTTTCACCTGGACCAGTTCTGCCCATTGTAGGCATTTAGGGAGTGAAGCAGAAGGAATACAGCTCCTTTTCTCTGCCTTTCAAATAAATAAATAACATTAATTTTTAGTTTTATTTTTAAGGCAGAGTTACAGAAAGAAAAGCAGAGAGAGTAATCCTCCATCTGATGGTTCACTCCCCAAGTGGTTGCAATGACTGCAGCTAAGCCGATGCATAGCCAGGAGCCAGATGCTTCTTCTGTGTCTCCCATGTGGGCACAACGGCCTAAGGTCCCAGCCATCCTCCACTGCCCTCTCAGCCCATTATTAGCAAGCTGAAACTGGCATCCATACGGGATGCTAGCACTGCAGGTGGAATCCTAGCCCATTATGCCATGGTTCCAGCCACAATAAATTTAAAAAAAGAAAAAAGAAAAAATTTAAAAGAAATCACCTTCTGGAAAAAATTCACTGAGTATGCATATATTCTTCATAGTTACATTCTGTCTTCTTCTCTCTGTAACTCTTTTGAATAAAACAAAATATGGAAAATCCCTATATAAATTTGTCAAACCTTGTACATTGCTGCTTTTGTCTTTTTTTAAAGATTTTTTTTAAAGGCAGAATTTAAAGAGAGAAAGAGAAACAAAGAGAGGTCTTCCATCCACCGGTTCATTTCCCAAAAGGCTGCAATAGCCTCAGCTGAGCTAATCTGAGGCCTGGAGCCAGAAGCTTCTTCCTGGTCGCCCATGTTTGTACAGGGTCCCAAGGACTTCAGCCATCCTCCACTGCTTTCCCAGACCATATGGAGAAAGCTGGATTGGAAGTACAGTAGCCAAAACATGAACTGGTGCTCATATGAGATGCTGGCACTAGCCAGAGGAGGATTAGTATGCAATGCCACCACGCTGGCCCCGTAAGTTATTGTTTTAAGGTTTTAGTTTATCAAATTTGTGCAGATTTTTTTAATATGTTTCTTTAAAATAGCAGTTATATAAGATTGAGAACACCAAGCAATCTATACTCTCTTTTGCTAAGGAAATAAAATTTTACTTTCCTACCTTTGTTAATTTCTGAAAAATATTAGAAAGAAATTCACATGAAATATCCTTTAAGATTTTCAAGTGGAAATCATCTTGTGTTAATTCAGTCTTTTTAGTTTCTTCTGTGTTAGACACGGTGGAATTCTCTGGTTTCTTTTGACAATGTTCCGTATTTTCCAAGACCCGAATCAGACTGTCAATTAGAAGAAGATCTGTGGACATACAAATCAAGAGACAAGGTATCACCCAGTTAAATTCTATTTTTCACTCACTCATTCAGATGTATTGAGCTAGTTAGTGCTAGACAGAGTGGTAAATCAGATTAAGATGGTCAAGGTTTCAACATACAGAATGCTTACATTTTGATACTTTAAAATAAGTAAAACACAGCATTTCAGACTGTGATAAGTTCCAGGAAAAAAAAAAAGGACTATAGGGTCTAGCATGCTAAGCCTCCACCTGCAGTGCTGGCATCCCATATGTGTATCAGTTTGTGGTCCTGGCTGCTCCACTTCTGATTCTAATCTCAGCTTATAGTCTGGGAAAGCAGCTGCCAATGGTCCAAGTCCTTGGGACCCTGCACCCACACAGGAAACATGGAAGAAGCCCTTGGTTACCAGCCTCTGACCAGCCCAGCTCAGCTATAGTGCCCATTTGGGGAGTAAAACAGGATGGAAGATTTCTATCTCTCCTTGTGTATAATTCTGTCAAGTAAAATAAGATTGTTGTAGAAAAATTTAGAACAGTGATAAGGGTGGGGAATATAAGAAAGCAGCCTAGCAGAGGAGACTGTCTGAAGAGATGATGCTAAATCAGGAACTCTAGGCTAAGAACCATGAGTAACAGTGTACAGGAAAATGTTTCAGGCAGAATGGAGGACGGAGACCAGCCTTCTTCCTTAGCACTGCATTGGCTTGGCGGCCCTTTGTTGTGAGCACCTAGTCACTCCTGTCGCCCCAGCCCTTCGCTGTGGTCCTGCTGGCCAGCCCTCAGTCCTGAACCCATCCTTCACCTTTAGCTCCTGTGGCATGGTAACAGGTTCTGAACATTCTTCCCCACGTCAGGGCCTCTAATGACTAATGTCCCTGGAAACTGAGGTAGTGTAACAACAAGGAATGGTGCACTTTCTCTCATCCCACTCTTCCCCCAGCAATAAAAAAGGGAAAAATTCAAACAGGTACCTCACCCACCTTGCCCCCACTGACTACCCTAATCAGAATCAGAGGCCCACATGAGTCTGGAACTGCCTCACTTTACAGTAATTATTAAAAAAAAAAAAATCCTAAAAAAAAGGCTTATTTGAAAGGCAGAATTATGGAGAAAGACAGAATAACAAAGGTTTTTCCATCCGTTGCTTGTTCCTGGCTCAGATGGCAGGAGCTTGGAACTCCAGCCAGGTCTTCCACATGCATGGCAGGAACACAGCACCTGGGCCACCCTTCACTGCTTTCCCAGGTACATTACCAGAGAATGGGACAGGAAGTAGAGCAGCCAGAACGTGCACTGGCACTTATATGGGATGCCAATATCACAGATGGCAGCATAACTGACTGTGCCACAATGCTGACCCCTGTCAAAGCACTTTTTAAAAAAATGGGAGAAAGAAACCAAGTGAAGAATATACACAGGCCTGAGTTTTAATCTGACAGACTATAATTTCATTTAGTGAATCCAAACAGTACTTACCTTGTCCTGACCTGACATCTTCGTGCTCGGCCTGTGACGCGTGGATGGAAGACAATACTGAAAACGCAGAGGCGAGCACGGTTTTCTGCTCTTGCAATATGATGGGTGGGTCATCAGACTGACAGAATTCATGGCAGACCAGGTCAAAAAGTAAATTCCAAGTGTCTTTTCTAGTATTAGGACACTGTACTTAAAAAAGACAATAAGCAAAATAGTGATTTAAAAGCAGCAAACAATTAAGCACATCACTATAAATGTGTCTCAATAAAACATCTTACCAATTGCTTGAATTCCATCATCCACTGTGGTAAGCAACTGTAAAATATGCATGTAAACATCCAGCCATTCTGGATTTTCAGAACTAAATGCAAAAAGCAAAAGCAATGAATCAGTAATTCTACCGGAAACAGTAATCACTCATTTATTCAACAAACAGTGCAACCCTGAGGGGCTTGGAGGAGTGTGTGCTGAGACCTGATAATCAAGCTGTGAATCTTGGGAGTGCAAATGTCTTCGGTCTTCAGGAAGGCCAGAAGACAAGTGCTTTAAGGCGGGGGCACGAAAGGCCCACTGGAATGGAATGTTGCCTAGCTGACAGGCTCTGCCACAGTACTCTTTAACCCTCTCACCCTATCCCGGGCTTGGATTTTCCTTGAAAAACTGTAGCTTATTACCTAGAAAAAGAATGCAAGTTGATGAGAACCAGAAGCACTTTAGGAGTACTGCCTCACATGTTTCTAACTATTGTACTGTGTAAACTATGTCTCACTAACTAGAAGACTGGGTATCCACGTAGCCAAAATATTCCCAGGATTGTCTATTCTTGAAGACTGTGTAGAGACCCGGGTAGAATGAATATAAATAAAATTTGAAATAAACTTTTTGCCTCAGACTATTTATCTTTAGTCCCCTGTGTCTTTAAAAAAAAAAATTAAGATTTCTTTTTCTTAGAAAGGCAGATTTACAAGAGAAGGAGAGCCAAATGGTCACAATGGTCAGCTGTTCAGCTGATCCAAAGCCAGGAGCTTCTTCCAGGTCTCCCATGCAGGTGCAGGGCCCCAGGGTTTTGGGCCATTCCCCACTGCTTTCCCAGGCCACAAGCAAGGAACTGAATGGGAAATTGGACAGCTAGGATACAAACCGGTGCCCATATGAATGCTAGCATTCATAGGGGAGGACTAGCTAGTTGAGCCACTGTGCTGGGCCCTCACTGTGTCTTTTTAATCTAACAGTGCTCCTGAGTCCCAAGTCCTGAGATCCACAAAACAGGTGCTGAGGATAAACCAGCAAATAGAGAAAGATCTCTGCACTCATGAGTTTATATTCTAATATGGAAGCAATAAAGAAACAAATAGCAAATATATCATATAATATTAAATCAACGCACACAAGAAAAATCAAAACTCTTCAGCCCTGTTTCACAAAATCAACAATGCAGAACCTTCACATATATGTCATCATTCTGGTTTACTTCAATAATCAGAACAAATAATTATTGAGACTTTTATAGTACAGATGTAAAATCTGCTCCAAACACTGTCAAAAATGGTACTCTTAAATAATTTCACAGAGTTAGGGACTGGCATCATGGCAGATTAGGCTTAGATGCCACCAGTAATGCTGGCTTCCCATATGTTCAAGTCCCGACTGCTCTAGTGCCAATCTAGCTCTCTGATAATGCATCTGGAAAAGCTGGGGAGATTGGCTCATGTGCTTATGGACCTAGAGGAAACTCTTGGGAGTGAATCAGCAGACGGAAGGCCCTCTTTTGATATCTCTCTGCAATTCTGCCCTTCAAATAAATAAAGCAAATCTTTAAAAGTAAAACAATTTTAAAAGGGGGTGGGTGTGGAGGAATGGCACATAGGCTCAATTGGCTAATCCTCTGCCTTGCAAGCACTGGGATCTCATCTGGGTGCCAGTTCATGTCCCAAGTGCTCCACTTCCCATCTAAGCTCCCTGTTTATGGCCTAGGAAAGCAGCAGAGGATTGCCCAAAGCCACCTCTGCTCAGCTATGGCCACTGGATGGAAGATCTTTCTCTCTGTCTCTCTTGTTTTCTTTGTAATTCTGCCTTTACAAGGAAAGTAAATCTTTAAAAGAAGAAAAAAAGAAAACTTTACAGGATAATTCTAACCCATAGCTGAGAATTAAATCTATTTAATCCTTGCTAATAGTTTGGAATCTCAGAAACTCAAAATCTTTGTTTTTGAAACAAACAAGTGAAATGACAGTGAATAATTCAAACGTAAGTTCAGAAAACATTTAAATACCTATTACTCTCAGGTGCTATGTTAGGGACTGGTAAAACAAAGTTATATAATACATTACAGCTAACTTCATAAAATTTTTTAATCTAGAGGATTACCAATTGGACAATTATAATAAAGTTATATGAATGTAACTCTAGAGGAAGTCCCAAGTGCTAGATCACATGGCAAGTAGGCTTACCTTAATACGGAAGGTCAGGGTAGAAACCTGAAGATGCCAAAAAAGGTTTCAGGTGGAAGACACATAATACGCAAAGGCTTAGAGGCAAGAAAACCTGGTTCAGTTAAAGAAATCAGGGTGGCCAACACTGCAGCAGAGCACATTAAGGAGCCACCTAGTGTGTGGCTGTTCCATTTTCAAATTCATCTCCCTACTAATGAGCCCAGGAAAGCAGAGGAGGTGGACCAAGTGCTTAGGCCCCTGCACCCAGGTCAGGGATCCTCTTTTCTGCCTGGCACAGCCCTAGAATTTGTAGCCATTTGGGGAGTGAGCCACTGGATGGAAGATCTTTTTCCATAACCGTGCCTCTCAAATAAATAAATCTTAAAAAAAGAAAAAAGGAAAGAAAAAGAAAAAAGAAATTTTACAGAGTTGGAACATGAAGTATAAGGAATAATGACAGAAAGGCACTGTGTAGGGCCTTATAAGCCAAGCGCTTCTAAAAATCCAGTCTTCAGGGCCTGGCATGGTAGCCTACTGGTTGGGGTCCTCGCCTTGCATGCACCAGGATCCCATAAGGCCACCAGTTCTAATCCTGGTAGCCCCACTTCCTATCCAGCTCCCTTCTTGTGGCCTGGGAAAGCAGTCAAGGATGGCTCAAAGTCTTGGGACCCTGCTGTTGCATGGGAGACCTGGAAGAAGCTCCTGGATCCTGGCTTTGGATTGCTTCAGCTCCAGTCATTGCAGCCACCTGGGTAGTGAATCCGTAGGCGGAAGATCTTCCTCTGTGTCTCTCCTCCTTTTTGTATATCTGGCTTTCAGGAAAAAAAAAATCCAAACTTCAAAGGGCCACCTCTACCTACCAGCATGAGCTGGAACTAAGGGCAGGCCAGGCCAGGCTGCAACACCCATCAGCTAATGCTGTGGTGAGGCAGGCCATGCCAGACTGGGCCACAGCACCCACTAGCGCATGTGAGACCTGTGTGGGAAGGCAGTGCAAATCTGACAGGGAGAGCTGTGGGGGGCTCTCCTGCTGGACCACTGTTCCCAGTGGTGAGCATGAGTACTGAAACAAGAAGCAGACCAGGTTGGGCAGGGCTGTAACACCTTTTGGCTTGCATGTGTGCTGGGTTGGAGGAAAGCCAGGCTAGCCTAACTGAATCCACTGGGACAGGCATGAGCCAGAATAAATGCAGACTGGTTGGGCTTTGCCACAATATCAGCTGGCAAAAGCTGGGATTTGGGCAAGTCCTGTCAGGTTAGACTGCAGAACCACCTGGGAAGTCCAAGATCCAGGGCTGCAAAACTGTGGGTTCCTCTCTGATGGATTGCAGCTCCTACTGGTGAGCATAAGAACCAGGGGCATGGGGAGGTCCTGGCCAAATAGGTAGTGGCATCTGCTGGCACTGAGTATGAGCTAGATAATGGAGTCAGTTGGGTTGAGCTAGGTTTCAATACCCATTGATGTATATGAGAGCTGAATGGGATGTGGTACAGACTCGACCAGTGTGCTGTACATACCGGCAAGCATAGAGAGTGGGGTCTAGTAGTGTTTATTGGGGGTCACCCCAACGAGGCTGCAGTTCCTGCTGATGTACATGAGGTCAGAGTGTATGGTGGGCAGTATTGGTCTGGGCCACAACTATCTATTGATTTACATAAGAAATGGAGTTGGGGGCCCAGTGCGATGGCACAGTGGTTAAGGTTCTCGCCTTGCATGCCCAGGATCCCATATGGGTGCCGGTTCTAATCCCGGCAGCCCCGCTTCCCATCCAGCTCCCTGCTTGTGGCCCGGGAAAGCAGTCGAGGTCGGCCCAGGGCTTTGGGACCCTGCACCCACGTGGGAGACCCAGAAGAGGTTCCTGGCTTCGAATCAGCATAGCATCGGCTGTTGCGCTCACTTGGGGAGTGAAACATCGGACGGAAGATCTTCCTGTCTCTCCTCTCTGTATATCTGCCTTTCCAATAAAAACAAAATAAATCTTTAAAAAAAAAAAAAAGATTGAAAAAAAAAAAAGAGAGAGAGAGATGGAGTTGGAGACAGAACTGACTCGGCAATTGCAACTACCCCAGTGCACTAGGAAGCTGATGTGGGTGATGAACTGGGTTGGACCAAGTACTGACAAACATATAGGAGTCAGGTGTGGGATCACCTCAGATGGGGTTTCTGTGGAGATCCCCTCATTGAACCACTGGACTCAGACTACAACCACTTGGAGAATCGCAGGATCTGTTCTCCTACCGTGGAGTGCATATGTCAGAACTGGACCTCCTTAGTGGCTAAGAGGGAACAGTGTACAGCATACCCAGATGCACATGGAGGATATGGCAGTCCATTGGGGCCAGCAGAGGACATCTTGTACCATAGCAGAGAGCTCACCTGCTCTAGCCAAGAATTGACAGCAAATATCTGGGTGAATGGAAACTCTGAAATGGATGGTGTCAGCAGATGGACCCTGGAAGGATTTCCTCATCCTTGGATCATGCTTGGCGAGACCGATGGCATTTCAGAACTATCAAAACCATTCAAGTGGAACCCTTGGAGCAGGCCCCACATCACAAACCCTGGGTTGGCATCGGGTGGCCGTTCCCCATCCCAGGTACTGGAGCAGTGAGGAACCTGGGTGCAGCTTCTCCCCTAACTTCTCCTCTTCCCCCAGATACAAGAGGAAGAGGGAGAAGATTTGGAAACAATGGTCTCACACTCCCCTAGTCTCTGATCCTTCCCACCTTAGTCAATTATGTCAATATCATCAAAAATACAAAATAAAATTTGAAAGAGTGGGGGAGCCTGCCACCATGGTGTAATAGGCTAAGCCGCAGCCTATGGTGCAAGTATCTCATACTGGTGCCAATTTGTATCCCAATTGCTCCACTTCTGATGCACCTCCCTACTTACAGCCTGGGAAAGCAGCAGCGGGAGGCCCAAATGCTTGGATCCTCTGTACTCACAAAGGAGACCTGGATGAAGCTCCTGACTCCTGGCCAACTGGCTCGGCTTTCACTTTGGAAAGTGAACCAGTGGATGGAAGATCTGCCTTTCCTCTGTGTAACTCTTTCAAATTAAAGTAAAATCACTTGAAAAATTCAGACCTTATCCTAAGGAAGGCAATGAAAAGATTGAGGGTACATTTCACAAAAATAGCTGTAAAGGGAAAGTATAGAAGCAAGTAGTTCAAATAAGAAAATAGGGCATTTATGCACTGTTTGCCTGAGTGGCAAAAAGTCAAGAAAGAACAAGGCATGAAGATTGACTGGCCATGAGAAGAGTGTGAGGGAGAGAAGAGTGAACAATGGCTTCTCCAATTCTGCTCCTCTTTCCAAAGGGGATAATAATTACCATCTACTGATTGAGAATACTAAGAAGCCTTGGTGGAAAGATGAGGTAGGTAACCCTCACTTGATAAAGGACATAAATTCAGTAGGTTTAATGTATCTTATACTAAGAAGGCACTACTGGTCACTAAGCAAATTCATTGGAAAACTGATTTGCTGGTGATTAACAAACTATTTCAGTGACCTATAAACCTATTAATCTCTCTTGGCAAGACAGAAACATCCCAAAATCATTCATTCAAGCCTGGCATATATATACAAGGAGTAAGAAAACAAATGAAATCTAAGATCAATTGACAAAGTTGCTAAATATTCAAAGTAATCCTTCTTTGGACCTGTGTTGTGGTACAACAAGTTGCCACCTGTAATGCCAGCAGAGTATATATGCATGGGTTTGAGTCCCAGCTGCTCTGCTTCTGACCCAGCTCCCTGCTATTGCATCTGAGAAAGCTATGGGAGATGGCACAGGTACTTGGGCACCTGCACCCATCTAGAAGACCTGGAAGCTTCTGGTTCCTGATTTTAGACCGGCCCAATTACTGTGGCCACTAGGGGAATCAACTTGAAGATGGGAGATTCTCTCATTCCCTCTCTCTCTAATTCAGCTGTTCAAAATAAGAAATTGTAAGAAGAAAAAATCTTTTTTGAATTTAAATTTTATAAAATTGCTGATGATGCTAAAACAGTAACAACAATTAATGCTGAACAATTACCTGGAGTTAAATGATATCAGAACAGGTACTCTGTAACCATTATGATAACTGCCAAGAGTAAATACTTGTAACCACAAATCTTAGTAGTAAACCAAACCAAACAAATGCTAGCTGTGTACTTTATCCTGCAGAAAGGCAATGAAGAATTTTTATATTTAAGGACATTTACAGCAACTGAATTTTCCCAAAATGCTGTGTACAAAAGAGTTCACGTACCACACTTGCTTGGCAGCTTCAAGCACACAGGGCACAATCCTATACACAGGCTGCTCTTCAGAATTTTCTTGGACTTGGTCTGAAGGTTGGACAGGTGCATTTTTAATCCATTCCAACATCAATTTCTCATCCAAATCAAAGAGTTTGTCCACAACCTCTCCCACCTTCACCAGCAAGTCAACTGCAGAAAACAGACATAGAACTTAGAAACACATTGTTTAAACCAATATACCTAAGCAAAATTTCTAAAGCTATATGCAAGTAAAGCCAAATTTTGTCAAACCAGCACTTACTCCATGGTGGTTTGCTTAGTTCTTATGTTTAAATTTGACTATATTCCCACATTTTAAAGTGAGGGATTAATCAGTATCCTGGGATTTGAAAAATAAATTTTATAAGCTAAACCAAAATAATTTCTGCCCAAGCCAAAATATGGGCCCCAGCTTGTGTCCCAATAGCTCTACTTCTAATCCAGCTCCCTGCCAATGGCCTGGGAAAGGAAGCAGAAGATGACTCCAGTGCTTGGTCTCAGGGTACCCACACAGAAGACCCACATGAAGTTCTTGCCTTCTGGCTTTGGCCCAGGTCCTTGCGGCCACTTGGGGAGTGAACCAGCATATGGACAATCTCTCCCTGTCTTTGTTTTCTGTCTACCTAACTCTGACTTTCAAATAAATAAATTAATCTTTTTTTTTAAAAAAAAAAAAAAAAAAAAAGCTTTCTCTGGGCTCGGTGCCATGGCCTAGCAGCTAAAGTCCTCACCTTGAATGCGTCAGGATCCCATATGGGCACCAGTTCTAACCCTGGCAGCCCCATTTCCCTTCCAGATTCCTGCTCCCTGTGGCCTGGGAAAGCAGTTGAGGACGGCCCAAAGCCTTGGGATCCTGCACCCACGTGGGAAACTCGGAAGAGTTCCTGGCTTCCGGCTTTGGATAGGCGCTGCACTGGCCATTGTGGTCACTTGGGGAGTGATTCATCGGAGAGATCTTTCTTTCTGTCTCTCCTCCTCTCTGTATATCTGACTTTGGAATAAAAATAAAAATTAAAAAATCTTAATAGGATAGGAGGTGCAGCATACAGAAACACAGAGATCTTCCACCCAAAATATCTGTGACAACCAGTGCGAGGCTATGAGGCTATGACAAAGCCAGGAACCTAGGACTCCATCCACCTGGGTAGCAGAGACTCAAGTACTTGAACCATCACATGCTGACTCCAAGGGATTACAAATTAGTAGGAAGCCGGATCTGAACAGAGAACTTGAACTCAAGCTCTCTGATATGGGATGTGGCGGCACAAGTGGCATCTTAACTGCCATTCCACACACCTGCTTTCTTTTTCTCAAAGTGACTTCTGGAAAGTTGGTTTCCAGATATAGTCTAAAACAATTTTTTCTAGATTACATGTACTCACCATTTGTTGAACTTGACATGATGAAGCAAATGCTATCATAAATAGCTGGATGTTCCCGGATCCTTTCAACCCAGACACTGGCCACTTCTGTCTGGGAAAGGCAAGTAAGCAACAACCTACATGACAAATGTGAGCTTAATATTGACCTTTCTAAACACCAGTAAGGACATTAGAGAATGCAGAGTCACCTGGGTCCCCCAATGGGTTTCTATCAATTAGAGAATTCATAAAAACAGAAGAGCATACCTGCTTGTTTCCAGCAAAGTAGGAGGGTCTGAATCATACAAACAGTTCAGTAACACCTGCCTACAAAAACAGCAGAATGAAACCACATGCCTCACCTTCCTGATTTCATACATCAGAGTTTCATTTAAATATTTTTAGTGTGAAATAGTACATTTATGTAGAAAAGTTATGATACAAATCTATAGTTAATGAACACTTAGAAGGCTTTCATGCTGCTAAAAGAGCAGTGCTGAATCTGCACAGCCTTAACGTATCCCTTCCAAATTACAACTCTTTCTCACCTAGAAATGATCACCATCCCAACCTTTGCAGCAATCATTTCCTTGCTTTGTTCTACAGTTTGTTTCAGATTTTTGCTCTTGAACTTTATATGAAATAAATCACATTGTATATTCTTCTCCTTAAAATGCCTTCAGTCATTATTTATCCACCTTTTTGTCTGCTCACCCATAATGTACTACTGACGGGGTCCTGTGTGATGTTTAGCCACATGTGCATGTAGTCTTATGAGTCTTACATAAGCTGCATCCCTCTATCCCTGTAGCTGCTCTTCCTCTATTCACTGCCACACAGCAGCCCCTGGATGATTGTAACATTTTTCTTCAGCCTACTGCTGATGGACATTTGCATGGATTCCAGTTTGGAGCTGTCTCAAGATTCAGTCTACATGGCCTAGTCTGTTGGCAAGTCCTACCTCTGCTCTAAATCAGGGCTCTGGGGTGACATTATTCAGCAACACTAGCTGCTCAAGACTAGTTAGTTCTCAGACCTAAGAATCTCTGTGTCTCAGCTGTGTCTGCCTCCAGGCTTTATGCCAATGGATCTTCCTCTATCAGGTTTATCACCAATGACACTCTGGTCCCTCTGCCACTGATGAAGAAAACGGGCTGAGCTGCAGAATCATGTGCGTAACAGAGTCAGGAAGCCTGCAGCTGCCACCAACACACAACCATGTCCCTGAATAGTGCTGGTCAAGACAAAGAAACAACATCTCACATTTTCCCATTTTTCCTGTGTATTGGGATGTTCTTAGATATAAAATATTAAATCTATTAAAAAATAATTATCATATAGCAAGACTTACCCAAGATTTTGATCACTGCTGATGGACACACATATCTCCTGGAAACAGGCCATATTACCCAAAATTCCCACACAAATTTCCTGCCAAATCAAATTTCACAGGTCACAATGGTTCTGAGGAAAGAGTCAAATATATAAAAATAACAACCTGAACAAAACATCTCACTGAACAAAGTTTAGGGGTGGGGAAGGAAGGCAGGTTATAGAAATATATTACCTAAATGCTAACCCTGACAGCCTAACAGTACTGAGAAAGAATGAAAAGACACAAGCAAAACAAAACAAAAGCAAAGTCAGGCTTTAGATCGACTCGGCTCTGGCCATTGTGACCACTTGGAGTCATTCAACAGACAGTTCTCCTCCTCCTCTCTGAGTATCTGCCTTTCCAATAAAAATAAATAAATCTTAAAAAAAAAAATCATGTGTGAATTTCAATTTATTTTGCATCAAGATAAGTATCTTTTAATTCCCATTTTCCCACATACTTTCTGAAGCCCCCTCATAGTGCAATAATCACAGCATAAACATTTACAGACTGATGTGTTGATAATACCAAGTAAAACAAAGTTAGAAAAAGAAAACACTATTTCAGCAATATCTGTTGTTATCACTCCAAAGAGAAAGAAATGCACATACTTACTCTTAACCGAGGACACTTGGACTTGGCCAGTACTCCCATGAATATGTCAGGAGCTTTAAATTCTTGGAGAAATAAAGCCACATCCTAAAATAAAAAATGGTCATTAACTTAGACAGTCAACATTTTTCTTCAAACTCTTTTAAAAAATATAATTCCAAGGTCTGGTGTGGTGACACAGTAGCCTGGGCTTCTGCCTGCGATGTCAGCATCCCATACGGGTGTTGTTTCATGTCCTGGCTGCTCTACTTGCTCTGCTTGCTTTTTTTTTTTTTTAATTATCTGACTTTATTTTACAGGCCAATACAATACAATATCTTCTGGCAATAAATTAATAATGTATACAGTTACAAACCGGCTTGGGCATTTTTCAAGAAAATGTAATAAACACAGTGTACAATTTTAAGTGCCTTACTAAGCCTAGGGACCAACACGATAGCCTAGCCACTAAAGCCTAACCCTGTATGTGCCAGGATCCCATGTGGGTGCCAATTCATGTCCAGGATGCTTCACTTCTCTTCCAGTTCCCTGCTTGTAGCCTGGGAAGGCAGTAGAGGATGGCCCAAAGACTTGGGACCCTGTACCCACGTGGGAGACCAGGAAGAAGTTCCTGGTTCCTAGCTTCAGATCAGGTCAGCTCTGGCTGTTGTAGCCACTTAGGGAGTGAACCAGAAGATGGAAGATCTTTCTCTCTGTATATCTGCCTTTCCAATAAAAATACATAAATCTTAAAAAAATAATAAAAACTTCAGCCTAATGGCTATGCATAGCCACACTGTTGCCAAGTAAAAACTAGCCACTCCAATGAGCATGTGCAGCACATTTACCAACCAGCAGAACACTTCAATCCTAGCACATTGTTTTTCTAACTGCAGGAGTAACTTCCAAAACAACCTGCCATTTTAAAAACTGTCATTTACACAGCAAAGTTGGATATCAAGGGAATTTTCAAATTTTCATCTAGGCGATTCTAATTTCTTGTTACTCTCAGAACTGCAGCAAAGACAGGCTGACAGCCCATCTTTAGATAATTCTTTGCTTCCAGCAACATTTCCCTGACGAGGCGCATGTCTGGTTTGCCTGCATGTCATACAGGCCAACTATTTATGCCCTGGTGAGCCTGCTTACTCACCAGGCTCTGTTGTAATGCTTTACCTTTTAGGAGTGATGACATGACACTGTGATACACTGAAATGACTGCCACCAGCCATGAAGGCATGACATTAGCCCCCATCTGGAATGCAATTTCATTAGCCTTAACTAAAAAAACAAATAAATAGAATCCCAGATGTAAGGATATCTACTTTGATCTGACAAAAACTACTTAAGCATTTCATTACTAACTTGGCGTGTTCTACATCTTTCACTGGAGTCACCAATTTCCCATCCTTTAGTTGTTTTTAACTTGTCCTGCTTTCAAGAACAGGTAAAACTAAGTAAACTCAAAGTATTTCACTGTGGATTTTTCTCTTGGTTCTGGAGTAATCAGGAACAAATTCTGTGTAAGAGTGCAACAGAAAAATATGTAGTAACCATGACACTGAGGAGACAGGCTGGACATGTGAACCAGCATGGCAAGAAAAATGAATTTTCTCCAGTTTAAATAGAAAAGGAGAGGTGATACTAAATTTCAAAGGAAGGGCTAATATTGATCCTTAACAGCCATATCAAAAATGCAATCCCCTTGTTTATTAGCGAATGCTAGTAAGATAGTTAATGCTGCTATCAGATTCTCAATTAAGGCTTAAGATACAAAAATGATTAAATGGAAGGAGAAAAAGTACTGATTAGAAATTATCTTCCTTGAAATCCAGATGAATAATAAGGAGTACTTCCAATTCACAGTTCTAAGCATGAAACCCAGGCAAGTCATATTATAGCCTTGCCTCTTTATTTGAAGATGAATTCAGCAGCTATGGAAAAAATCTACAGACTAATAAATAGGAAACCGCAAAATGCTTGTCTGTCCCGATCAAGAAGCCAGAAATTGCATTTGTATCTCCATCTTGGCTTTCCAAATGTTGAGGCCTTGTCCTCTTGAAGGCTTCATTAGCATGTAACTAATTCTTGGATGCTTGATGGGGCTGGGACTGTTGTTTCACACAGAAACTGATCGTTAGTGACAGAGAAGTTATCCCCACATGGGCAGGGGTAGAAATACGTCCCTGAGCCCTCATCGTATTGGAAAACCTCGATGTCTGCTTTGTTGTGAACACAGCCATGGTCACGACTAACGCACATCCTGTCCGATACTTCAGGTTGTCTAACTTCTACAGCATCCACCTGGATGGTGAATCCCATCCTCACCACCCACTGGGGCGGGAAACGCTTACAGCTGCTCCACTTGTGATTCAGCTCCCTGCTTATAGCTGGCTCAAGTCCCTGGGCACCTGTATCCATGTGGGAGACACAGAAGAATTTCCTGGCTTCAGATTGTCTTGACTCTGGCCATTGTAGCCATCTGGGGAGTGAACAAATGAACGGAGCACTTCTATCTTTCTGTCTCTTTCTCCCTGTAATTCTTTCAATAAAAATAAAATACATTCTAAATAAACAAGTAAATAAATTTTAAAATACACCTTTAAAAAATGTTAACTCCATACGCTTAAATTCACATACCTCCCTTAAGAGACAAAGGGAAAAAAAACAATTAAGGTTAGGAATTATGTCAACAGACAAAAGTGAGTCCTGTGGTTTCTAAGACAATGAGAAGTTTCCATAAAAAACTTAAACTACTGTATTCCAGGTTTGTCCTTGTCCTGCTCTCTCTTGAATGTGTTTACCTGAGTGGATTTTACACTCATCTGGAAACTTATTAATGCCTTCAAACACATCTGCTGCCAGGTATCACACTGGAAGCTGAAGATTAGGGGAAGAGCAAAACTCTTCATCATGTCCGCCAAGAACTTAACATGAACTGCTTTTGAATCATGTCCAAATCAGAACTTATTTTAAAAATTTCTATCATTAAGATCTTTTAAAATATTTACTTATTTAAAAAAAAAAAAAGATTGGGCCCAGCATGGCCTAGCAGCATAAGTCCTCACCTTGAACACACCTTGATCCCATATGGGTGCCGGTTGTAATCCAGGCAGCTCCACTTCCCATCCAGCTCCCTGCTTGTGGCCTGGGAAAGCAGTCGAGGACGACCCAAAGCTTTGGGACCCTGTACCCCTGTGGAATACCCGGAAGAGGTTCCTGGATCCTGGTTTCGGATCGACAGCATCGGCCGTTGCACTAACTTGGGGAGTGAATCATTGGACGGAAGATCTTCCTCTCTGTTTCTCCTCCTCTCTGTGTATCTGACTTTCCAATAAGTAAAATAAAATCTTAAAAAAAAAAAGATTAACTTATTTTTATTTGAAGGGCAGATTTACACAGAGGGGGTCTCTCATCCACTAGTTAATTTCCCAAATGCCTACAATGGCCAGAGATCAGCAGGTCCAAAGCTAGCAGGTGGAAATTTCTTCAGAGTCTTCCACAAGTGTCCCAATGACTTGTACCATTGTCCATTGCTTTCCCAGGTCACAAGCAGAGCGTTGGACTGGAAGTAAAGGATCCAGGACAGGTGCCCACATAGGATGCCAGCACTACCGGGTAGTGCTACTGCTCCAGGTGCCCGCAGCACAAAAACACTCCAGTCACAGTGTAATGATGACAGCTTCATATCTTATTCCATGAGCATTTGCTCAATCTGCAGTATCCAAACTGGCACACTGCACAGGTGAGTGAATCTAAAGTAGACTGTGACCCCCAAATGGGCCAAACCTTGCCTAGGAATGCCAGACACAATAACTAAGTCAGTTAGCTAAAAGGATGTTCTGTAAAACACACAGACCCCTCCAAAACAAAAAGAGTGGATACAGCTTGTTCATAGGTCAAAAAACTCAATGTATTATTCAGTTGCTAATTCTTCTCCCAAATAATTTAGAGTCAAATCTTTCCAGTTAAAGGCCTAACAAGATTTTGGCAGAAAGCAACAGATTCTGAAATTAATATGAAAATAGAAAGGACTCAAGACAACCAAAACAACTTAAAAAAATTTTTGGAGAATTAACACTACTTGATTTCATTATTTATTATGAAAGTACATTAATCAAGAGCCGGCGTCATGGCTCAAGTGGCTAATCCTCCACATTCAAGTGCTAGAATCCCACATGGGCACTGGTTCATGTCCTGGCTGCCCTACTTCCCATCCAGCTCCTGGCTTACGGCCTGGGAAAGCAATAGAGGACGGCCGAAAGCCTTGGGACCTTGCACCTGTGTGGGAGACCAGGAAGAAGCTCTCACAAAAAATATACTCAACATTATCAATAATTAGGGAAATCTATGTTATAACCACAAATTATCACTATAGTTATTAAAAGGGTTAACATTAAAAAGACTGACCCTACTCAGTGTTGGGTGAGAAGAGAAGAAAGTGAAACTGGAATTGTCCCTCACACTTACCATATGATCCAGCTACGCCACTCTACATATTTTAGAGAAAAAAAGGCATATGTCTATACAGACTAGTACAAAGAAGCTCACAACATTATCTATAATACGCTATACACAATTCAAATATCCCAGAAGCCTGCAAGCTGTATCAGAGTGCTGATTTCAGTCCTGGCCCTGCAAAGTAACACACCTGGGATTCCAACGAAGGATGGCCCATTTACCTGGGGTCTTGGCTTCCACCTAGTCCAGCTCTAGCCACTGGGGCCATCTGGCCAGTGAACCAGCACGTGGACGATCTTTTTCTCTTTCTCTCTTTCATAAAAATAAAATCTTTAAAAATACAAAAAAGTTTAGCCCTTCGCTCTTCGTCTGTAATCAGGGTACACAGGCTGTATGCTATAAGGCTGCGGTCCCAGGAGTATAAAAGCTAGACTTGCATCTTTGAGGAAAGTGTATCTTAAACGCTCATTGGATGAGTGAAGTTTACAGCTCTCATGAATGCTGAATTCGAGCAAGTTCTGAGACCTCAGACCTGTTATCTGAAGGCAGGTTAGGAGCCAGATCACCGATATGCCCTGAATCTACTTAAGGGAAGGGACAAGAAAGAAACACAGGAATACAATGACAACAACATTCAGACATTTGCACTGTAATCGAGCACTTGAAAGCATTTCATTCATTTTATGCCATTTGGTCTTCACCATAATCCTGTGACAGAGATTTATTTTATAGGCAAGAAAATGGAGGTGAAACGATACAAAACAACTAATGTAGTCTCTTTTATATCCTGGACCTTTGCAACTCACTAAATCCCCATAGCATCTCTCCTCTCCTGTCCTTCACACTACCATCCACGTTCTTTCTTTCTCTGTAATCCATAGATTCAATTGTATTTTTAAAAGTCAATGTTATTTATCATCATCTTCTACCACTAAACAACTTTCCCGAGATAAAAGTGACAGAAAAAGTCATGCATTTAATTTGGGCAACTTTGGTGGATGTATATACACTTGAAGCTCTCACCACAATCAAGAGCCAGAGCATATCCATAACCACCAAAAGCTGTGGTTTTGGTCTCTTTTTTTTAACTATTTGTTTATTTATTATTTAAAAACAGCCCAAACAGAGAGATTGATCATTTACTGGATAACTATTTTTTTTAAAAGATTTATCTTTATTGGAAAGGCAGATATATATAGAGAAGGAGAGACAGAGAGAAAGATCTTCCATCTACCAATTCACTCCCCAAGCAGCCTCAATGGCCGGAGCTGAACCAGTTCAAAGCCAGAAGCCAGAAACTTCTTCTGGGTCTCCCACGTAGATACAAGGTCCCAAAGCTTTGGTCTATCCTTCACTGCTTTCCCAGGCCATAAGCAGGAGCTGGATGGGAAGTGGGACAGTCAGGACACGAACCGACACCCATCTGGGGCCCTGGTTTCAAGGCAAGATTTAGTCACTAGGCTACTGTGCTGGGCATGTGTTGTTTTTGTTTTTTAATGTAAGATTTATTAGAAAAGAGTGAGACCTTCCTTCCTAGGGATCATTGGCCAAAGGGCCACAGTGGTCAGGCTGAAGCCAGGAGCCTCAACACTGCCCAGAGCTCCACCCGGTTTCTCTTGTGGCTGGCAAGAGCCCGAGCACTTGGGCTGCCTGCTTCTCCAGGAGCACCATCAGGGAGTTGGACTGCTAATGGAGCAGCGAGACTCTAATCAGTGCTCCGGTAAGGAACCAGGCAGCACATAACCTCCAGAACTAAACCTTTAAAAGACAAAATCTACTCCCTCCCCACCCGAGTCAGTTCAGAGCTTCCCTCCCAACCTACCTCATCCATGGACATATCCCACACTCGGCAGATGTCATTCTCCACTTCCTCATCAAGCTCCACCTGCGGGTCCTCATCATCGGAGCCAGACCTGCTGCTTTCTGGGCTGACAATCTTCAGAAACAAAGAAAAGGGACCAACAGCTGTCAGTGGGGCTCCCAAGTAACAGTACTGCATCATCATTCAGAAGCCACAAAAATACAATCCTCAAGACAAAAAAAAATCTGACTTGGGCAAATCATTCAGCGTTCATGGAACATGCACTGTTGCTCAGCAACGCGGGTGGGAATACAAGGATGAATAAAACATAATCCCCGAGCAAGCAGGTTAGGACCTAGTGGGGGAAATAAACGGACAGAAAATGACCTGGGAGAAAAGCTGTGGTGGCAAAAGACGATGGGTCAACCATCTATTCCTGGGACGAGCTGGCGAACATTTCTGCCAGCTAAATCTTGCAGAAAGAACCGCCTGTTGTGTAACCAACAGAAAACATCACTTTGGAGTTAAGACAGAGCCTAGCTGTCTGGAGGGCAAGCAGTGTGGTGGTGATGGGAGGCGGAAGTTAGACATAGAGCACTGTGCGGTCCCTGGCCTCTCTTAACTTCATCATACATGCCCCCACACACTGCAAGTCTGATCGCCTTGGAGAAGCTGAAAAGAGTCTCCAAGTCTGCCCAAAGTCACCCGGCTAATAGGTGAGGAAGCTGTGCCTTGGTGACCAGCCACCATTTGTCCTAGATCAACGCAAATCCATAAAATACTGGCATAAGTTAGGACGTGGGCTTCAGAAACGAGGGCACCCAGGAGCATCCCTCAGCACCCAGGAGGCCGCAGGCGGGGTGCGCTCGGGGGGCGCCCCGGGCGCCACAGGGGACGAGTGGGCGAGGGATGTGTCCACACCTGGATGAGCCCGCTGAGGACGCCGAAGAGCCAGTGCTTGCTGTAGACTGTGCTCCCTATGCAGTCTCCGCCAGCCACCCCATCCTCCTCGCCATCCTGGCTCGGTGGCGGCGGCGACGGATTGCGGTCCATGACACTCACTCGGGATTCGCGCCGGAAGCCACGAAGCAGGCGAGACGTCTCCCCGCGCCAGAGCGTCCGGAGCGCACGGCGCGGCTCCCGCCACAGCGCCTCCTGCCGCTTGAAGTCCGAATGACTTCAGCTCCTCCCTACCCTACCAGGAACACTCAACTCAGGCTTATTGCTTTACCTATCATCCTCACACTGTTTCTCCGGGAACGCCTACCCTGACTGGATGAGGAGAGACAGAGAACAGGCCAACGTCTCTGGCACAGATGTAAGTCTTAAAACTACGGGACATATTTCAAATGCTTTCGGTCCTGGAGCCGGTATTGCAATTGTGGAAGACTTCATTGGGTGCTCATTCTTCTCTCAGATGAGGAATCCTAGGAAAAGTAAAGACACCAGACAATAAGAATGTGAGGCTTGGGAGGGTCTGCTGTTTGACCTTATGATTACCCCGTACTGGACTAATTGGGCTCCATTCTTAGTTTCCGACTCGAGCTGCCTCCTAATGCAGCCTCTGGAAGGCAGAGGGGATGGCCCACGTTAACTGGGTTCCTGCCATCCATGTGGGAGACCTGGAGTGAGTCCATGGCCCTCAGCTTCAACCTTCAACGCCAGTGAGCGCACATTAACTGCATGTGGGAAACACACCGTAGAATAAGTGATCTCTCTATTTAAATATATATGTATATATATGCATACATATATATAACATGCATTTCAACACAGTTAGTCCTAGATCCATGCTTTTCACCTATGTGCAGAGGCAAACACAAGGTCTCATAGGGCTTGAATTATGAAATTCAAAGATCGCTCTGTAGGAAAAATAATACAAACTTACAAATGCTAGCTAGATAATATTTACCTAAAAAGGGAAAAAGAAATTAAAACAAATTAAAAATTTTATATAGTTGACCAGTACCAGGAACATCACAAAAATCAAAATAATATCTAAATATTCTTATTACCAAATACCATAACACACTTCTACAACCCTTTTACATTTTTAAAAACATTATTTTGGGGGCCCGGCGTGGTGGCGCAAGTGGTTAAGGTCCTCGCCTTGCACGCCCGGGATCCCATATGGGCGCCGGTTCTAATCAAGGCAGCCCCGCTTCCCATCCAGCTCCCTGCCTGTGGCCTGGGAAAGCAGTCGAGGACGGCCCAAAGCTTTGGGAACCTGCACCCGCGTGGGAGACCCGGAAGAGGCTCCTGGCTTCGGATCAGCATAGTATCGCGGCCCGTTGCGCTCACTTGGGGAGTGAATCATCGGACGGAAGATCTTCCTCTCTGTCTCTCCTCTCTGTATATCTGCCTTTCCAATGAAAAAATAATAAAAATAAATCTTAAAAAAAAAAACATTATTTTACTTGTAACACAGAATATCTTCCATTTGCCCATCCCAGTCAGGACTGGGCCATGCTGAAGCTAGGAGCCATGAACTCTGTCCAGGTCCCCATGGACCTGTAAATGGGTGGCAGGGACCCAAGTACTTGAGCCATCAATTGCTTCCTGCCTCAGCACCCCTTAGCAGAAACTGGATTAGAATTCAAACCAGCACTCTGGTACAGAAAGTGAGATGTTCTAGGTGGTCACTTAACCACTGCGCCAATATCCATTCCTGCACCTTTTTTTTTTAAAGATTTATTTATTTATATTGGAAACGCAGACCCACAGAGAGAAGGAGAGAAAGAGAGAAAGATCTTCAGTCCACTGGTTCACTCCCCAAGTGGCTGCAATAGCCAGAGCTGAGCTGATCAGGAGCCAGGAGCTTCCTCTACTGCTCTCTCAGAACACAAACAGGGAACTGGAAGGGAAGTGGAGCAACTGGGACGCAAACTGGTAGCCATATGGAATCCCAGCAGTTGCAAGGCAATGATTTAGCCACTGAGCTGTCAGGCCAGGCCCCTTATACTCCTTTTTTTTAAAGCAAACTCTTTGCTGAGAGTTTTTGATACTCTCTTTGAACAATGCTCCTACAGGGTTATTTCTACAGAAAGATAATTCTATCTTTAGTGCAACTGATTGACCTTTTTTTTTTTAAAGATTTATTTCTTTAAATCTCTTTTAAATTTTATTTTTATTGGAAAAACAGATGTCTGAAGAGAAAGATCTTCCATCTAGTGGTTTACTCCCCAAGTGGCTGCAATGGCCAGAGATGAGCTGATCCAAAGTCAGGAACCAGGAGGTTCCTCTGGGTCTCCCACACAAGTGCAGGATCCCAAGGCTTTGGGCCATTTTGTACTGCTTTCCCAGGCCATCAGCAGGGAGCTGGATGAAAAGTGGAGCAGCCAGGACATAAGCCAGTGCTCACATGGGATCTTGATGCTTGCAAGGAGAGGATTAACCAATTGAGCTGTTGAGGCGGGACATGAAGAGAGAGAGAGATCTTTCATCTGCTAGTTCTCTCACCAAATGGCTTGAAGCAGGACCTGGCAAGGCCAAAGCATGGAGCCTGGAACTCCCAGTGTGCTATGTGGGTGGTACAGGTCCAACCATTCAGGCCATCCTCTGCTGTTTTCCCAGACACGTCAGCAGGAGCTGAATAGGAAGTGGAGTGGCCAAGACTTGAACCAGTGGTCTTATCACATATCACTGTTGCCAGACATGGCTTCACTCCCTGCTTCACAAGCACAGCTCCTGGTGGCTGCAATGGCTTACACAGTGGCTTTCCCAAAGATATAAATCCTGGATACTGCTGTCCCTTAGTATTGCGCTTTTTCCACAGTCACTGCCAAACCCTTTTATAAAAAACAAACAAACAAACAAACAAACAAAAAAACATTTCAGGAGATTCTCGGTCAACTCTCTTATATTTGGCTGAGCATTTTGTGAATTTTAGAGGATTTTTTCCTGGCAGGGCTCGCAAAGTTTGCTTTGAACTCACACCTCAGGGCAGCGTCCACGTGTGCCAGCGCACATAGACTGGGCCTGGAACTAGCATTATTTCTGCAACTATGACCTGTTCCAAGGTTCCCAGCTGGGGTATCTGAAAGAAAGCATCTAGAGCAGGTGGGGTCACTGCCTTCAAGCTCTGAGCGGCGCCGAGGAATGCCTTACAGCCAGCCACACACACACTGAAAAAGCATTTACCTTCTCGGAGACTTTGAATTGTATTTAGTTGTGATTATTGATTGCTTGATTTTAAAAATTTATTTCTTTTTCTTTTTTTTAAATTAAAATTTATTTTTGTTGGAAAGTCAGATATACAGGGAGGAGGAGAGACAGAGGAAGATCTTCCATCCACTGATGATTTACTCCCCAAGTGGCTGCAATGGCTGGAGATGAGCCGATCCGAAGTCAGGAGCTTCTTCTGGGTATCCCCCATGGGTGCAGGGTCCCAAGGCTTTAGGCCATCCTTGACTACTTTGGCAGACCACAAACAGGGAGCTGAATGGGAAGCAGGGTGGCTGGGACATGAACTGGTGCCCATATGGGATCCCAGTGAATGCAAGACGAAGACTTCAGCCACTAGGCTACTGTGCCGGGCCCAATTGCTTGATTTTGTTTTCAATATTTATTTTATTTTTATTGGAAAGATAGATCAGATTTGCAGACAGAAGGAGAGATAAAGATCTTCCATCCACTGGTTCACTCACCAAATGGCTAAAATGGCCAAAGCTAAGCCTATCCGAAGCCAGGAGATTCTTCCAAGACTCTCATGTGGTTCAGGTCCCAAGGCTTTAGGCCATCCTTTACTGCTCTCCCAGGCCATAAACAGGGAGCTGGAGTGGGAGTGGAGCAGCTGGGACATAAACTGGTGCCTAAATGGGATTCCAGTGAATGCAAGGTGAGGATTTAGCATTGAGCCATCGACTTGCCAAACAAATGAACGAAGATACGATGGCTCTCGTAGTTGAGAATGATCCCTCGTGGGATGAGCTGCAAAGGCTAGCTGAGGAGGGCTGCGGAGAAGCCAGCAGCCCCAAGCAGACCTGCTTGGGGAGTGAATGTTCTGATTTTCAAAAAGTTAATAACTTACTGGTTGGAGTTTCAGAGACCCCTAAATAGGAAAGAAAAATAGAGCAAAGAAAAAAAAAACATGATGTAATAACTCTTCAGGAGCCCTCAGGGAGGTGGGTATGTTAGAGGTGAATTCATGGAGAACGTGAGAGGTCCTGCATAACTGAATTTTTATTATTGTAGCAAGGCACCCATCATCTCGCAGAACGACTCACCAAAACAAAGGAAGTGAGAGTTTTTATACTTTTACGAAAAATAGTGCAAGTAGTGAGAAAGCAGGTGCAAGGAGCACAGATTAGCCGAGTTTCCTCAAGGTCAGAGTAGCCCAAAACAGTTCCAAGCAAAGGGTAAATAAGTAGCTCTCCTGTGGGAAGAAAGGAATTAGGCAACATTCCAGGGAACAACAAAGTATCAGACTCTGGGGTCAGTCAGGTCTTTGCATGAGTTCAGGCCCATGTACAGCCTTGCATGTGCACAGGAGGTCCCTTGCTTTAAGTCTCGCTTGGAATGTCTGCCAGGCATCCACATCATGGATAGCTTATGCAATGTCATCTTCAGTGTGGACTCTGCACACTAGACCTGACTGTGCACTGCACACACTTCTGTACAGAATAGGCTTACTCCAAATTCATTCGCGTGAGTGGTTCCTGTAGCCTGTCCCATTAACATGACTTTCAGTTCCCTGACTGGTTCACATAACATGCTTTATTAGCATGTACTTTCAGTTTCTGGATTTCTGATTGGTATTCTAACCTTTGGGTTGGGTGTTATCCCTGCCTTCTGATTGTTACTCTCTTCCTCCTTGATCGAGTAAATCTTCATCTAATTTCAGAAATAGACCAGTCATAGAAATCCACTGTGTGTACAGCAGAGGGAGCAGTGGCAAGCTTTTCCAGCAACGCCTTCATTGCAGTTGCCCTCCTGACCGCTGTGGTTTCTCACTGCTCACTGTTCCTGTATGGATGGAAATTCTTCTTTGGTGTGAGGCAAGAACTGAGATTGCCTCATCATTCTGAAACATCAATAAGTCAAGAAAACGAAAGAATATTAATAAAGGCTA